CCAACTTGAGCAGCAAGAAAAGAGACCGGCGGCAGGGGAGTTTGCCCCAGAGGAAAACAGGATTGCGTTCAAGGATTCCGGGCACGTGGGCAATGTGATGGATGTAGTTGCCGAAGTGACGGTTCCAAGAGGCAGGATCCACACGACGAAGAGGTGGGGGGAGGAGGCGAATGATCTCGTTGATGGTGGTCTCCACAAGAGTGCGGGGCAGAATTTCTGGCGCCTCGCATTCTTCCCAGCTGCAAGGTCGAGAGGGATCGTCGATGAGATCTTCACGATATTGTTCAACAAAACGGAGAAGTCGATCCCATTCATGGAAGCCGTGGTCGTGGATGTCCAGCCAAAGGTCGAGAGTGCCAGTGGGGCGAATGTGAAGCCAGAAACGCGTAGTCCAAATGTGCTGTTGAGGACCCGGACTGAGGCGGATTTCGGCTAAATTGCCCATCAAATATACCAAGTTGCTAGACGGCTCATGGATGTAGTGCGAGTTTCCCAGCGAAGTCCCCAGGCCGGAGGGGCGACAGGTCGTTCGGTACGTCGTGAAGTGCGAGGACCTGGTGCTTCAGGAGAAGGGTTGGTGGTGTTGGTGGCTGGTGGTGGTGCGAAAAGAGAGATTGAGAGATCATCTGGTTCTGGCTCTGCAGTGGTTGTATGTGGGGAAGGGTTGGATGGGCCAGGGGGTGCGGTTGGACGGTCACTCAAAGAAGTGGGTTCCGGTGGAGGTGGTGTAGGTGTGGCCATGGTCGGAGGAGCGACTTGCGGAAGGTAAATTTGGAAAGGCTGGAGGAAGGGTGCCCACTGAGATTGAAGTAGAAGTTGTTGTTGAGCGGCTTGTTGTTGAAGTTGTTGTTGAGCAGCTTGTTGTTGGAATCGAAAACGAAGTTGGCGAAGTTCTTCAGCTTCAGGGTTGGAAAGTGCGGTGGAGGGTGGGAGGGAAAGTGGTGGGGGTTGCTGGAAAGCTTGTGGGGGAGTTGCGGGACGCGAAGAATCAGGGGATGTGGGAAGGGAGCGTGGATTGTCGCCGGGGCCGGGAATAAGTAGGACGAGTCCCTGAGCTGCGGAAGAGGCTCGATCCGAGTTGGGTCGTGTGGAATTGGGTGGTGTGCGTCGGTCGGTGAAGCGGGGTGGGCTTAAGGGACCTGCTGCGTCGGGAACGAGCCCGTGGAGGACATGATGGCCAGACGGGCGCCGATCCCGATCCCTTGAATCTCGTCGATCGCGATGGGCAGGCTGATGTCGATCCTGAGTATCAGAGGATCTTCAGTGTGGATGGTCAGATTGATCCCTTGAAGCTCGTAAGTCGGGCTGATGCCGATCCCGATCCACTGAAGTGTGACAGTCGCGATGATCGGATTGTCGCCGATCGTGGGTGCTGGAAGCACCGCGATCCTGATGTGTGGATGGGTCCCTGGAAGTTCGTCGGTCATGTTGATCAGAGTATCGCCGATCTTGGTTCCCAGAAGTGCGTCGATCCTGACGTGGAGATTGATGTCGTCCAGTGGAGTGAGAGCGTGGGTGAGATCGGCGATCCTGAGAGCGCCGGGTGTCCCGTCGAGAGTGAGGCTCTTGCGTGGAGCGACCAGTAAGGGAGTGTGTGGGTCGGCGATGCTGTGATCTGGCAGAGCGGGATCGTCGTCGGTCATGTGGTCGCGTCGGGAGCGACGGCGTGGTCGCGGTGCGTAACCGTGGGGCCGAGCAGAGGAACGTGGCGGGCCAGCTGGCCGAGCCGTGGTAGGGCGGGAGAGTGGGTTCATGCGGGGAGGTGCTGCCAGCCGTGGGGGAGGGATGAAGGGAGTGGTGAGATGTGGCGGCGGTGAGGGTGGAAATTGATGTGAGGTGGCCGTCCGGATCATCTGTGGGAAGGCGGTCATGTGATCTGGAGGCGGTCCACGTCGTCGTCGATGTCCACGTTGAGAGGACGCAGAGCTCCCCATCAGGAACCGAAATGGGTCAAAATGAGTCAAAACAGTGCAAAAGACCAAGAAATTGAATAGGAGAAACTTGAAGGTGAAAAAGATGCACAAATGGAGTCAAGAAATCAAATCTGCTGGAGCCCCGGGGCAAAGGAAGTAAAACAATTCAGATAAAACAATCGTGGTTGCAGCTGGTCAGAAGGAAATGAAGGTAACAAAGTGCAGAATCAAGTAGTAAGAGCGCAACGAGTTTGCTCTCTGAGCAGGAAGAAAAAGTAGGGTGAGACGTATGGACTAGGACGGGGTCGACCGAGGTCGAGACCGCGACCGAGAACGAGCAACCACAAGTGTTGGTGGTAAATCACTGCGAGGAGTAGGTCCTGCAGAAGGTGCTCGAACGGAGGTGCTGTTTGTTCTGGTAATCGAAGGCGACGTCGAAGTAGAGTGGATGGGAGAGTCACTGGAAGGAAAAGTATAATGAGGTCTGCCTTCAAAGACGGCGACGCCATCAACTGTGGCGATAGTTGGAGAAGTAGAAAGAGGCAAACGGTCTGCAAAAGTCGTACGACCCTGAAGTTCAGCTTCAAGTTGTTCCGGGCTGTGGCGCAGGACGCGTCGTAGGCCCATGGCGGTGAGGAGTTCGTGGGTATAGTGAATGGCAGTATGGTCGACACGTAGCGCAATCAAAAGGGTGTGGTCGAGGCCCTGAAGCTGAGCGCGAAGATGTGGGACTCGATCGAGGAGGGGAGGGGAACGAAGAGCAAGAGGTTGTCGAAGAAGGGTGTTGATGTGGGCGATGTGGGCCAAAGAGGCATGTACGCGAAGTAATTCACGATGTAGTACTGCCTGCGCCACCATAGGAACGCCCTGTGTGACAGTCAGGCCGCAAGGCGGTGGGGTCGCGCTGGACATGGCTCCAATGAAGTCGAAATTGAAATCGAATCGAAGTTGTCAGCATACTAGGAGCCATGGATCAGGAAGAGAAGGTGTAGAAATCACATGTAGACATAAAGTGGAAAGTAAGGCGTCAACAAAATTGAAATTAAAAAGCAGGTGGTGGATCCTTTTTAGTCGATGGTCGGGTAGAGAAGGGGTGAAACCTGCCCGGGATTCAGTCGAGAGCGGGATCGAGATCGAGTCGTCAAGTGGTTCATAGCTGGGCGCGGCACCGTAGTGGTAGTGTAGAGACGAAGAGGTGTAGTCACCACAAGCGAGCCCGGTCCGGTGGTAGGTGTCGAAGTAGTCGAAAAAGGACCATCCAAGGGAGGAGGTGAGGAGGGCGAAGGTACTGGGAAGGAGGAAGGAGGTGTTGAGGGAAATCATGGATCCAAGAAGGAAATCTGGCCGTGAAGTTCGGCAATCAATCGAGCTGGTCACGATCAAAGCGAGTGATATGCATCATGCCAAATTAGTGAGCAGCTGTTCGGTGTAGTCGAGAGTGGTATGGGCAGCACGTTTGGTCTGGTCTGAAGCCTCTCTTTTTGGTGTTGTGATTCTAAGTAGAGCGTGCCGCTGTCTCGTACGTTGTTTCTGCAGTCAAGGGCTCATGTAATAAAGCGCTAATGCGTTCGGTGGCTTGCACAACCGGCTTTTGCTCTTGCGAGCCCTAAACGTAAGTGTCACACCCCGGGGTTGACTTTCAATCTATTTATTAATTCACCGTCAATTCACTGCGTCCAACAGGCGGCCAGCGCATGTCATCACGACACTGGCCAACGGTCAAAGTTTTATTCGGAAACTAAAACATGATCTTCGGAAACTTTTTGGTTTTCTTCGGAAAGTAATATTCGGAAACTTTTGCGCTTTTCTTCGGAAACAAATCTTCGGAAACTAAACGGTTTCTTCGGAAACTTTACGGTTTTCTTCCGAAACTTTTCTGTGGAAACTAATCTTCGGCAACTCAAAGGTGATCTTCAGAAACTTTAAGGTCTTTTTCGGAAACTGTTCTTCGGGAGCTAATCTTCGGAAACTTTACGGTTTTCTTCAGAAACTAGTGTTCGGAAACTACGAAGAGTCGAGGACTCGAAGAGCAACATCAAACTTACACGATAAAGTTTCTGCAGATCGCAAAATAGGTATTTTAATACCGTAGCCGTCACAAGGTACATCAGACAACAACCCACCCACCCAATGCTCCTCCTTCATGCAATTGGGCTACAATATGGTAAAAGTGTTGAAGGATACTTTCTGAAGCGCTCTGAAGATCGCCAAATAGTTTCTGAAGATCGCGAAATAGTTCCTGAAGATCGCCAAACAGATTCTGAAGGCCAAATAGTTTCTGAAGATCGCGAAATAATTCCTGAAGATCCGCCAAATAATTTCTGAAGATTGCCAAATAGTTTCTGAAGATCGCAAAATAGCTTCTGAAGAGCGCAAAAAAATTCCTGGAGATCGCCAAATAGTTTCTGCAGAGCGCAAAAGAGTTCCTGAAGATCGCCAAATACTTTCTGAAGGCCGCGAAGTAGTTTCTGAAGAGTAGTTGCGGGAGAGTGCCAAATAGTTGCGGAAGAAAAGTTTCAGGAGAATGGAGACTTGCGGAGTAGAACTTTGTTCCTGGCAAACGAAGCTAGTGACGTCATAGACAGCGGTCACTGACGTCTACTTGCCGGACGGGGTCCCAGAGACGCACACTGGACTGGCACCAACAAAGACACCAGCGCTGCATCTGCGATATCGGTCCGGATCGACGTACCGTCGCGATGTTGAGTAGCGTCATCCTACTGTAGCTCTCAGGCTGGTTGGGTATCTGAGGCCGGCAGATGCGCTGTCAAGGTTGTCAACATGAGCTTGAGACGCTGTTTTCCTTCGTGGACCCCGCTGCATTCATACCAGTACTTGAACCTGTACTTGACCCTGTTCCTTGGAATCCTTACGTTACATTCGGACCATACGTACTTTTGTCTCGAATGCGCGGGCGCGGCACCATGGCTTTTCTTATCGTAAAGTTCACAAAAGTCAAACGCACTTACAAAAAATAACAAGCGTGGAAGGCAAGTAAGGAGACAAAGTTAGAGAGAACCCAGTGGTTTTCATCGAGACAGACGGGTGGTTCTTCTTTGTGGGAGGTGAAAAGCGTGCCAGGCAGACGTCCCAAGTACGCCTCTGCCTCTTCTCGGCCACTCTTCCTGTCCACCCCGGCGTTGACAGCGTCACCTTATCTGCAGCGCGCTGGCACTGCTGCACCAAAGGATGAGGCAAAGCGCAAATGAGGTCCGCGCCCCAGCATTGCTCGGGACACCACTGTCGGGTATCATAGCTCGGTGTTGAAGCGGTCAGGTCATTCCAAGCAGACAACCTCACTTTGATGAGTATGGAAGCATAGAAAGTCAAAGAAACATGGAGCGCTGGTAAGCATGTATAAACTATAAACTTGCAGACTATTAAACAAAGAATCAGCTCTGAACCCTATAACACCCCGCAGGCGTTCTCGAACGAAAGCTCGTTGCGCCATACTCGCCTTGAAGGAAAAAGCTTCTTCTGCGTCCAATACATGTAGCTTGCTCTGTAGGCCAAAGAATCGAAACGCTGTGCTCTCTCTACAAATTCACCTAGCTTACTCCCAGGTATTTGTGAGGACCCAAACCACAATCAACACCTGCACTCTCAGCAGCATTTTCCAATGCTCAGAACGCTTGATCAATCCTGCCAGGTGGGCCTGCTGGGTGGCAGCCCAGCAGGCCCACCAGCCCAGGGCTTTGGTCAGAGCACTTGGGCTCTAGAGACGCTGATCGCTGCATTCACAAGCTGCATTCTTCCTTGCAGGACAAGGGTTCCTGTAGAGAGCACCACACTCCCTGAACATTTGGCAAAAAGGCCCGGCACCAGAGCGTTCAACAGATTCTGGCTTCTCCAGAAGTTGTTCAGAATTTCTTGGAGGAGGGTGGGGGGGAAAGAATTTCTGAACCCAAGGGAAATAAAGCGAAAATGCCAAACCAGGCACAAAACACTCAGGGCTTCTTGACACTTGACCCAACAAGCACACCAAGTCAACAACAGGGTCGACAGCCAGGGTGAATTAGAGAGAGTGGTATTCTTACATGCAAGCCCATAAGAATCCTACACGTTGCTGACCTCCTCCTGATGCCACCCTTCTTCGCCCGAAAACACAAAACCATTAATTTTGTTTTGCAAAATCGGAACACTCCGCAACCAGAGCTTTCGACGTCCACAGCTCGGAGAGAAAGGATTGCAAGGCAAAGGCTGCAATCCTTTTGTCTCCCAGCTCTGGGCTGCGGGAGACAAAAGGAAACAGAAGGGAGACAAGGCGGAGTCACCTGGGAGACAAAAGAATAGAAATGCTGCGTGGCCAGCGGAAAAGGGCGGACACCACCACCGAACCTGGGAGACAAAAGGAAAAAGTTACATTGCACAAATTACACAGGTGGGATATCAAACAAGCATTCCCAAGTCCACTTTTTGAGACATCAACAAAAAGGGAGCCGAGAAGGGAGACAAAAGGAAACAGAAGACCACCAGCAGTGACAGAGCTGGGAGACAAATGCATAGAAATGCTGCGTGGCCAACGGAAAAGGGCGGACACCAGCAAGCAGTGACAGACCTGCGAGACAAATGAATAGAAAATCTTCACAGACCTGGGAGACAAACAAGTCGAAATGCTGCATAATTAACGGAAGAGGGCGGACCAGCAGTGGCAGATCTGGGAGACAAAGACAAATGAATAGAAATGCTACATGGCTACAGACCTGGAAGCCAAATGAATAGAAATGCTACATGGCCAGCGGAAAAGAGTGGAGACCACCAGTGACAGACCTGGGAGACAAATGAAGCAGCGACAGGCCTGGGAGGCAAATGAATAGAATGACATCGACAGTGACAGACCTGGGAGACAAATGAATAGACAGGCTGCATGGCTGGCCAGCGGAAAAGGGCGGACACGAGCAGCGACAGACCTGAAAGACAAACGCAAATATGCTACATGGCCAACGAATAGAAATGCTATATCGCCAGCGGAAATGGACGGACACCACCAATGACAGACCTGGGAGACACATGAATAGAAATGCTGCGTGGCCAGCACCAGTGACAGACCTGGGAAACAAAACGAACAGAAATTTTGCATCGCCCGCGGAAAAGGGCGGACACCAGTGACAGACCTGGGAGACAAATGAATAGAAATGCTACACGGCGGCACCACCAGTGATAGACCTGGGAGACAAGCGCGTAGAAACGCCAACGGAAAAGGGAGGACACCAGCAGCGACAGACCTGGGAGACAAATGAATAGCAATGCTACATGGCCACCAGCGGAAAAGGGCGGACACCACCATTGACACAAAGGGCGGACACATCTTAAGAAAGAATTGAGAACCCCTAACAGTAAACTGTTTGGGGAATAATGCTGCATGGTCAGCGGAAAAGGACGGACACCAGCAGTACAGGCACTGAACCTGGGAGGCACAAGTAAAGAAGTCACATAGGAGACTGCCAGAGACTGCATGGCCAGCGGAAAAGGGCGGACACCAGCAGCGCAGGCACCGAACCTGGGAAACAAAAGTAAAGAAATCACCTGGGAGACAAATGAATAGAAATTCTGCATGGCCAGCGGAAAAGGGCGGACACCAGCAGTGACAGAAAGGGCGTAAGAAAGAATTGGGAACCCCTAACAGTAAACTGTTTGGTAAAAAACAACCAACAGAACTGTAAAGGTACTGTGAAGCGCTGGGAAACAAGGCAAACTGAGTAGGTTGCCGCCAGCGCAAGCCCTCCTCCAGCACTGTCCCCGCAGACCTGTCTTGCACTAGGGTTGCTCAAAGAAGTTAGCACCGCAACTGCACACGTAGTCACACGCAGTCTGAAAGCAAAAACCAATTATACAAACATGGCGCATATCCACGGAAGATTCCAAAATAGATTTGCATTCTGCCACAATTGAAAGCAAGTGAAACGGCAGGAGTGGTGTGATCAGTGTCTTTTAGCAAAAACACACCCCGTCGCAAATGGTTCCCAATTTCATGCGTGAACTGTTGCAGGACTGCCGTCAAGTTTGCCGAAGCTGAGAACCTCACAAAAAGATCTCGCGCGGGGCTTGCAGAAAAAGGAGCGCCCTTGACCTTGCCTGCGAGCGACGCTTCAACTCAAGCTGTCGAGCAAGTTTCAGTAAGCCTATTTTGACATCATGAATCACGCGGGCCTTGCCCGTTTACTTCTGGTGGACCATTCACGCTCAGCCACTTGAGCGCTGCGCAAGCATCCTGCACAGGGCGAGACTGAAAAGGCTATCCTTTGCAGGCCCTGGAAGCAAGAAGGACTGACTGTTCAATGTTGGGAGCTTTGAGAAGTTGTGAAAAAGGACAAGGGTCTAACGCAAATTGCGTTGACTCTGACAGGATCTACCTGCCGACTCGCATCACTGCTACGGGCATATCGCCACTAGGACACCAATGGTTTTTCTGCAAGTGCGTCGAAAGATTGAATCTTGCTGAAGCTGGCACGCACGGGAAAAATTCTACAATTTTTTTTGTAGCCATGGGTCCCATGGGTTTGCAAGTTGGTCCGAGGAAGCTACACCGCTTGTTGGGACAAAACAAAAACAACACGACGAATGAGGCGGCCCAGGAACGTTTAGACACGCGCGCGGCACACCCGCTCACCAGCGACGCCCGCGTTTACGCACGCATGTTTCCGGTTCCCCACTGGCACGGTAACACGCAAACACACATTCCACCGAGGCTGCGCAAAACAAAACCACACGGCAGCGACATAAAATTTAAATCGCCGCACTGCGCACCTCTGACTACATACGGCAATGTAACGCGCCCCGATCCTCAGAGACACGCCGCGTTTACACGCACGTGCTCTCTACCCCCACGGCGCACAGCAGACTATACAGATATACAACAATGTAACACCAAGCCTCGGCTAAAGTTGCCGGTTGTGAGGCCAGAACTCCCAGACGCTGCTTCCCACACTACACCGTATACACCATTTACAAAGTTCCTACTTCTGAGCGACCGGGTCCCTCACGGGCCCACGGGCTCAGCCGTGTACGGGCGCGCCCGTCCCCTTCCACAGGCCGTCCACAGGCTGTCCGCGGGCTTAACCACCGGCTCACGGCCCCACGGGCGCCGCTCACGGGCCCCGTGGATCTCCAGAGGTATGGTGGTGAGGGGCTGTAGTGGCTGCACTCGTCATAGTGTTTTTTGCTTGTGTGTTTGTCCATGGTTCTAGCTCTTCTTGTGTTTGTGTTGTCATATAGCAAGGGCTCAGCGGAGGATGGGAGAGGTTGTCCTTCTGCGTTGGCCTGACATGGCTGCAACTGTTATAGTTGTCTTCTCCTTGGTGTTTTTCGTGGCTTTGGTTCCAGCTTTTCTCGCGTCCGTGTTTTGAAATAACCGCAGGCGATGGTAAGCTTGCCCACACGCATTGTTGCGATGATGGGAAGTTGCGTGGCATTGCCATGGCTGCGATTGTTATAGGTGTCTTCTCCTATGTTTTCCGTGGCTTCTTGCGTCCGCGCTTCTAATTGACCGCAGATAATGGTGAGTTTGTCATTGCGCGTTGCCGCGTTGTTATGCTGGTGGGGAGTTGCGTGAGATTGCAGCGGCCACGATGGTAAAAGCTGTGTTCTCCTTGTACGCCTTTTGGGGCAGTGGTTACGGTGGCCCTAACTTTTCTTTTGCTCGTTGTTCTTTTTGCGTTAGCGGTTTAAGTTCTGGCGTGTACTGTATTGCGACACGCGGGCCATGGAGCCTGTGATAGTGGGCCCGTGGAGCGCGTGGGGTTTGTGGGGCCTGTGGAGACCGCGGAGCTCGTGGGGCACGCACGATCCCCGCAGAGGGTCATTCAGCGCACCAAGAATTCACATGCGTCACCTCAAGTTTGCGCGTCTGACACACACTTAGGATAGGGTGTACTGAACTGAAAGCGGTGCCACACGCCGGCCTAGGGTTCCAATTCCTAAGGGAACAAGTACGAACCACGGGAACCTGGAGGACTTTAAGAGGAAAGAAGGCCCAAAGCAGAAGAAACCCATCGACGATCGCGGATCGAGCAGGCTGACGACGTTCGTTCATGTCTGCTGAGTGCATTAGCCCTTTACCAAAGGTTTAAAAATTGCGCAGGTACAAGTGGTTGATCAGACCACTCATCCGCCGAAATGCCATAGCTTCGTTGGACTGGATAGGCAAATCGGCTCCAGTCCCCCTGCTACACAAGGAAAACAACTGTGAAGCGAAAACAATCCGAAAGGATCCCTATGATTCCAAGGGTTACACACACACGCCTCCCGAGGGGAGGCAAGATTTTTAAGCTCCGCGCCATAGGTGGTGTGAGACTCTTCGTCCCCAAGTAGTGGTAAGGCCAGGAACCTCTAGTAGCGTCAAAGAAACACCTAACACCTAGTAGGAAGGCCAGGAGCCCCTAGTAGCATCCCAAGCTAAGGTGCCGACAAGAGGGAGGGGTAGGGAGAGACGAGAAAAAGGAGAGAAGAGAAAGGAAGGTGTTCCCAGCTACGACGCATGCGTCCAAGGACACAC